TCTCTCTCTCTCTCTCTCTCTCTCTCTCTCTCTCTCTCTCTCTCTCTCTCTCTCTCTATAAGTGTACGCAGCAAGAACGAGCTGCGACGTTTTCTGCGACGTTTTCCGCGACGACGCGAGGCGAAGGGATGCATTTGGTTTACTCTCCTTGTTTTACTATATCATTTAGATCTTTCTGTCTCTCCCGCAGTCGGTTGCAAGCGGGTGTTTGCCGTGCGCGACGTTTACGAGATATTGTTATACGATCGAGTTGCGTTATATCGCATGGGAATCGCATCACTTGAATTTGTCGAATAGGTCGATCTGAATACTCAGTATGCCGCGAATGCCATCAATATATCGATGCACGAAGAGAATTTCATAGTAAAAACTACCGTAGAATCCGAGAAATAGTTCGATATTCTGCAGTAATTGACTGTTCTTTCATATTATATGTACTATTTAGGAATCCTATAAAATAATAATTTTCGTCAATCAATTTCGTTAATTCATTTAGTAGCACTGAAATGACAAATCCAGTTAATTGATTTATATTGTTAGATAATTTGCTATGTTTTTAACGAAATTCACTGTGTTCCTTAGCAAGATAGACTATATAATGAGAATCTGCTCCTGCACTACGAGAAATATAAAATTTATATAAAGAAATAGAAAAAATTTATATAAAAGAAAACTATAATATATTCTTTCCGTGCATTCTGTCAAGTAGTAATAGAGTAGGATGATCGTAAGATTTGTTGATCAGGAATTTAAAATTCGATGGTAATTAGAGAGATAGTTAAACAATATGACGCGAGAGATACAACGCAACGCCGAATCTCGCATTGAGAGAAAAATCCGGATATTCCGTTCAGGCAACATGGAAGACTGGGGCTAAATGCTCTATATTTTAGAATTTCGAAGTTACAACTTCTCAACCAACTAATTGTTGTAACAATTTTAAATGAAATTCAGGGAAAAGTATTTATATTCTAAAAGGACCGTTTCGCTATTTTGTACTCACTTTACATTTTTCTCAGGATAAATACTAAAACAAGCACATGAGCAACATACTCCTGGGGCCATATAGCCGCGGTCTGCCCTATACCCGATCGTTTTTGGGGCCATTCGATCAAGTTGATCGCGTCTGATCGGAACGTATGTCCGTTTGTTAATTTTTAATCGGATCTTTCCTCTCAGTGTGTGTGTGTGTGTGTGTGTGTGTGTGTGTGTGTGGTGGATAGCGTCGGTCTCTGTTGGCAGATGTGTACTGAGTGTTCACAGAAATGCCTATCAGATTCAATGGACGCGCACGGTGAAGACTACGGTTGAGTCATAGTTGAGTAGCACTCGAACACGATTGGATGGCTGACTCGATATGGAGTAATCGCATTCGATCGCTACTCGTTCATTTTCTTTACACGAATACATGATCCAATTATTGCGCGATCGATGCGCAATTATTGGATCATGTTAATCGATTCTTCAGGTCTTCTTCCGCATCGTCGCTAATCGCCCTACGCTTCATTAATGCGGGTACGTTATTGTTATGTCGTAAATCGCGCAGTGTGAACAAGGCAGAAGTGGCTAATTACTGATTTAATTAAATATTCTCCTATGAGTGTATCAATAGAATGCGTTAAATTTCGCGATTAATTAATGACGCTCACCTCTATGATCGCAATTAACTGTCGGTGGCTTGTATTTGCGTGCAATTCACGTATTATTAACGTTGCTGTTAACTATTTCGCGAACTCTGTAGCATATTCCTCTCTCGTGATTTCCCGATATCGCTATTAAATTCATTCGCATACTCAAACTGCAGACACAGACGATCGCTGTGTTTGTCCGCGCTGGCGTTTTAATCGCGCGCGTTGTCATAGGAGAATATTTTCATTGTCACCTTCTTCTCTCACCTTACGTACAAATGAACGCTTTATGAAGGCGCTCGACATGGACCAAGACATCTGTTGCTGTTGCGCGATTCACGTCGTTTGGAGAACAAACTTTCTCGTTCGATTCACACGCGGTTGTTTCATCTGTGATTCGATTTCCCAGGCTGGCACATTTCTCCACGTTATGCGTGCCGCCTATGTGTGTGTATGTATATATGTGTATGTATGTGCACGCCATGGCAAAACTTATTCCTGTTTCACATGTCGACGTTGTCGAGCAAACTCTGCTCACATTCGCTCGATATTCGTCCACCCAATTTAGCAGTGCATTAAGGGAAAGAGATTACCAATTCCCCGACACGCACCTAATCCTGGACAACCTTATTGCTTTGGTCTTTAAATGCAAATATTTAAATTTTCAATGTAGAATATATATATTTAACATATATATTTTTTATGTTGAAAGTTTAAAAAAATATTCGTATTTAAAGACTAAAACAATAAGAATGCCCAAGATTAGATATTGAGAAAAAATACTTGAAAATTTATTAGTGAGATATAAAGTTTATTCTCACAAAAATAAACTTTTTTTTTACAAAAATGAATTTTATTTTACAGAAATAAACTTTATATTCCATAAATAAATTTTTGTATTTTTAGGACTGAAAACAAAAATATGAATACTGTAACAAATACAACAAATACAAATACAACAAATAAACAAATACAAAAATGAAAATTTATTTGCAGGATATATTATATTAGAATTTATTTTTCTGCGAAATAAAGCTCACTTTATATGCGTTAAGTTTCTGTGACTAAACTTTATGTCCGAGAAGTAAATTTTCGAACATTTTCTTCTTAGTGTACTCGCGAAAATTAGAATTAGTTCGCGCATGCCTACGCAATCAAATGTCAGTGACCAGAAGCGAGTGACCGCGCGAAATAAACCGGAGCGCGCGCGCGCGCGCGCGCGCGCGCGAGTTCCCCTTAATAATTAATTCCGCCGACATAAACCGAACTCCTCCATCGCGCGCTCGTGTGTGTCGATTGACCGACGCGGCCGACGGTTCGCCGTGTCATTCGGTGTGGTCGCGCGGTTCCCCGTGCACGTGGAACGACGCGGTGGGAGATTTTCACTAGACGACCGCACGACGATAGATAATCTCGGACACGGAGAAATTTCATCTGCAGGCGTCCATTCGCGCGTTCCATATATCCGACTAAAACGTTACAACTAGTTCGCATCGAACGCCTCTCGTTCTCACGTAATTGTCCGCCGGGGATGGACATCGAGACCCGGATGGGCCGTTCATCGACCTTCGATATCCAACTTTCGGGCCATTCGATTTTTATCGTTCAGCCGATCCTTTTCTCCCCTCGAGCCTCCTTTGTGGACAGAGAGAGAGAGAGAGAGAGAGGATGCGAGGAGGAGAGAGACAGATGGAGAACTCTCCTCGGCAAGAAACTCACTTCTGATCCTCGCAGCAGTGCGCGCTCGTACAAATATAGCTTGAGAACGAATGGGGAGGGCGTTGAATTACGAAAGGACCGCGAGGACCGGAAGGATGCCGACAAGATAGACGACAGACACTCATATCGCTCGGCTTAGATTAGATTACAACCCACGAAAATGCTTCACGAGCGCGCGGGGATCGCAAACGTTTTGCAAGAGACGTCATGAGATACGGAATATCTCGGTTTCTTATTCCAAGCTGGATCCTGTTAGTACTTTTCCCAAGTAGGAATGGAAAGAGATATTGTTTAAACGCTCCTCTCGTCGAGAATAGATTGTTAAATCATGATAAAGAAAAAGAGAAAGATATGGAAAGGGAAGATTAAGTCTGATTGCGCGTTCATAATTTTCCTACTTATGCTTTTAGAACGATCCGTACCAAGGATTAGTAATTGATAAACGAGGGGGTTAATCCATTCCCCACTAATGTGGGATTCAATATGACGAGCGCGAAGATGAAAGCGGGCAGTAGATAAGCGCGGCTAAAGAGTCTAGCTTTCGTTATAGCGCGTCGATTTGCTCTTTGGATATTGTGGGCTTTGCCGTAGACTTTTGCACATTTGTACGAACGTGATGCACGGACCACAGTACGATATGTGAATGTTGTACGTGTACACACAAACCGTCATTCACTCTGATTTGATACATTAACGGGCCGGAAAGCGATATTTGATGAGAAAAAGAAGAATGCATCTAGATCCATCTCCTTTCACGACACTAGAGAAATGCGTGATCATGTTATCTGTTGTTACGTTCGCTCCTATTTCATTTTAAATTTTCCGGAAGCTCAAACTCGACTTTTTATTTAATGGTATATAAAGTTTATTCCAGGTCAAATAAACTTTATTTCCTGTGAATAAGTTTTGTATCCTTCAAATAAATTTTCAAGTATTTTTTTATCAGTGTACTGAAAAAAAAATATTTGAAAATTTATTTATGAGACAAAAGTTTATTTCGCAGAAAGAAACTTTATTTTACAGAAGTTAATTATATTTTGCAGGAATTAACTCTTTATATCCCACAAATAAATTTTCAAATACTTTTATCTCAGTGTACACTGAATATATTAAAAATGTGCATTAAAAAATGCAATGTAATTGGATAAAGAAATAAGTTAGGAATGTAGTATAAAATAATGATTAATTTTTGTTATCAGTGTTACATCCGGAACCACGCAGATGTCGTTTAGC